GAAATGGTTCTATCCGATGCACAAAGCCATCTATTTTGGAAAAAACCAATTTGGAGGAGTGAAATACATGCAAGCATATAAGATTAGATAAATATTACACGCTAGAGGAATCGATCATTTGCAGGAAAGTCTACATCTTCTCTTGTTTGTAAAATTTCCTCTTGAATTCAACGTTTATTCAGTCTAACTTAACTAATACTAATCAAATTTGAATATTTTGGTAATATCATCATTTCGACGGTAATTTATCAATTTTGCCGGGCATTGTTATGTCTCATAATGAGACAACATCTGTTTCAAACTCTCCATATAATAACGCAATGAATCCAAAGTCCACTTTCCACTCGATTCACTGAGCCATTTGTAAAGGAAAAGTCGAATTTGTCGAGTAAAATATATGCAACAGTATAAGATTTGATAAACTATATCCCCTTGAGGAATCAGTCAGTTGCAAGAGAGTTTATATACTGTCTTCTTTGCAAACGATCCTCCGGAATTAAAAGTTTTTCTCAGTCAATGTCTAATTTTGATCAAATTTGCATATTTTCGTATTATCATTATTTCCACTGTCATCAATTTTACTGATAAGTAGTTTGTTTCATAATGAGGGAATATCCGTTTCAACCTATCCATCTAATAATTCACTGATATCCCAAGTCTATTTCCTGCTGAAACGGTTCTCTTCGATTCCCCTCAGCCCCCTGTTATGGAGGAGACGAACTTCGGGAATAAAATAGATACAAGAATATTGGAATTGATGAAATATAAACGCTTGAGGAATCGAACAGTTGCAGGAAAGTTTATATATTGTCTTGTTTGGAAAATTTCCTACGGAATTCAAGGTTTTCTTAAGTCTATCCGAAATATTGATCAAATTTCCATGTTTTGGTATTATCGATATTTAATCTGTTTTCAATTTTATTACCGGTAGGTAATATATTTTATAACGTAAGAGAATCGGTTTAAAAATATCCATATAATAATGCTCTGTTATCCGAGGTTCACTTTCTGCGGAGTCGGTTCTATTCTAAAAATTCATCAAACCTTGCATTTCTGTATATATTTTACTACTGCCCTAACTGTTCTTTTCCATAACAAATGTCTGTGAATCGAATAGAGCCGTTTTAGCTGGACGTGGATATCGAATATCGCAGTATTATTATGTGGATAGTTTGAAACCGATCCGGTCACATCATGAAATAAATTAATCACCGGCTTAGTTGATAACAGTGGAAATAACGATATTACCAAAATATGCAAATTTCATTAAAATTAGAAATAAGCAGAGAAAAACGTTGAATTCGTGAAAAAAGTTCACAAACAAGACAATATACAAACTTTTCTGAAACAGATCGATTACTCAAGCGCTAAAAGTTCATCAAATCTTATATTCTTGCATATATTTTACTACCCAAATTCGTGTTTTCCGTGACAAATCGCTCATTGAATCGAATAGAACCGTTATAGGTGGACGTGGGCTTCCAGAATGATAACATTATTATATGAATAGTTTGAAACCGATAAAATGAATTAATGACCGGTAAAATTGATAACAGTGGAAATAATGATAGTAGCATAGAATGCAAATTTAATCAATGTTACAGGTAGACTGAGAAAAGCCTTGAGTTCGTGAGAATGTTTACAAACAAGACTAGATTTAACTTTCCTGCAACTGCGCGATTCCTAAAACGCCTACATTTCATCAGGTCTTAAATACGTGCATGCATTTT